TACCCAGTGATGAACCATTGTGGGCTTTTAGAATCTTGTTTCTATAATTGTTTATTTCTGTTGCTAGAATTTATCTTACTGTTAGCTTCTTTTCAATTCATATTGGACAAATTTTGAAAGCAGAAGATCTAAGAAGAATGCAAAAGAGAAGAGAATCTGAAATGACTTTAGAAGTTTAGCATAAATATCTTTCATTTTAAATGAGGGATATTGTGCTTGCAAGATTAACCACATATTATCAATCCACTCAGCCCCTCTTACATTAGGTAAATCAACCCACATTTTCAGTATACAGTCCTATAGCAATACATTATTTACTTTTTTCTGAAAACCGTATTAAAATTTTGGATACGCACTTGTAGAGCTGTATCAGTGCAGTTGCGCTTTGTAGGACTTTTCTCCTTCATGTGAACACCACCTCAGTTGCCCTCAGCGTTCACTAGCTGCTTCCATCCAACTTGGAGTTGGAGACTCTTCAGAGTACAACTGTTTTCTTCCATTCTCTACTTTGCAGATATTAAAATCTAGTTGCAAATATTTTTATACCTTTTTGTTCCATACTTTCCTACAATAATGAACGCACTACAGCCTTAGAAGTAGAGTTCATAATACACACAAAGAAAAAGCCTAGGCTCATTCCTTTATAAAAAGGCCAGAAGACAGCCTAGATACTCTTACCAGACTTCTGGAATGCATTCAGAAAACCTTACTTAGCTAATGGCACAAATTAATAAACTTGAGTTTATATTTTTATGGTTGATATCAGAATGAGAGTATTTCTTGTACAGACTCATCTCTTGAGACTTGTTACAATGCTTATAATGAAGCAGAAAAAGATGCTTCCATTGCTTGAAATACTAACTGGAAGGAATGGAGAAAATCTGGGAATATAAATCAAATTTTATACTGTTTTCTTGTTTTAGTTTGTTTATATTTTAATTGTTCTTTCTTTCTACCCATTGAAGATTCCAGTGCTGAATGTTCAAATGAAAATTTTTCCTGCACTTTGTACTGTAGCAGGGACCATATTTTCCTGTACAAATTACTTCCGTGTAATCTTCACAGGTGGTGTTGGCAAAAATGGATCGACAATAGCAGTGAGTATATTTTTAGATTTTCAGTTATTTCCAAACTAGGCCTTGGTTTGTGGTCACTTTTTCAGTTGAAATGTATAAAATAATTTAATTTAGAAATTCTCCTTATCTTTGAAACAAAAAAAAGGACGTAACTTGTTGTATGTGTACATCCATAAATTTATACATACATATATATATATATGCCTATTTTTGTGCATACACACACTTAAACAGTTTTAATGAGTATGACCTGCTTTGTAAAGATAAGCTTTGCCTGTTGTGTGAAAATTTGAATTTGTGCCTTACCAATTCATGTTGCTGTTTTTTATTACCCATTCTGATGTTTGGTTTATAGAAATTGTTGGCTGTTAAGCGCCATGAGCTTCAAGAACATTTTAACTGAACTACTTTATGGTAAATCCATGGCACATCTTATGAGTATTGAATACTGTTACCTCTTCTCTTCACTCTGTACAGGGAACAAGTGTACTCTCTCCTTTTCTCCATATTGGATCAGTGATTACATTAGCTGTAATGATCTACAAGAAATCAGCAGTTCAGCTTTTTGAAAAGCATCCCTGTCTTTATATACTGACATTTGGTTTTGTATCAGCTAAAATTACTAATAAGCTTGTGGTAAGCACCTTGATTTGTATTTGTTTTTAAATTGCCTCTTATTTTGGTTTAATAGACCTGAGTTTTATTCTATAGTTGTTGTTTTTTTTAATCAGTCCTAGAGGTGGAAGTAAAACTGTCTTGACATCAACATGAGAGCTTTTTTCTTTCTTTTTTTTTTTTTGTCTTTTTTAAAAATTAATTTTATTGGTACATTTAAGGTATACAATATAATGACCTTCATCATTGGAAATTTGCACCTTCACATAATCCATCTTGGTTCTTATTTTTCCCTATTCCCCTACCCTCCCTACCCCTCCACCCCTCCTTGTCTACAAAGACTTTGTTTCTATTTTTTCTTTTCTCATATTAATTCCGTTCCCCACCTTTTCCCCTACCTTTCCCACTTCCTCTTCCACATTGAGGCGATACTCTTTAAGTGAAATAAATAGGACACACACATGTAAATACAAAATAGTTTCTCTGGTATGAGAAACTGAAAGTGTAAGAAAGGACTAAAAGGCATAATAATGTGAAATAGGAAGAAAAGGTGCAAAAAAGAGTATGAGAGCTATTTTTACTCTTACATAAAGCTGCAGTCTTACAGGTACAGGATACCTGAACCTCTTTGAACCTCTACAACTTTTTAACATTGTCTACTATTTCATTCGGTTGTTCAGTGTGTCTGCACTCATTAGTCTCAATCTGGACAATCAAATCAAGGCTCCTTATTTTTAAAAAAAGCATTTTTTGCCAGCTAAGTTAACATGGTATATCTGTTTCTCACCCACCCTTTACATTGTTGGGTTTTTAGTTCTGGAAATTCAATAACCATTACTAAATAATTCTTGAAATTTAATACTTGAGTATAATACTGATTTACTATTTTCCTCACAATTGCTATAATGTGAAAATGCCTGCAACACTGATTTTATTCTCTTCATAGGTTGCACACATGACAAAAAGTGAAATGCATTTGCATGACACGGCATTCATTGGTCCAGCACTTCTGTTTCTCGACCAGTATTTTAACAGCTTTATCGATGAGTATATTGTACTTTGGATTGCTCTAGTAAGTGTTATATTATGCCTTATTTCATAATTTGAGGCTACTTGTTTTCTTGTTTCAGCAAGAGAAAGATCATAGAATTGTTAACTGGGAATGTCAGAAATTCACATATATGAGACATCATAAGAGTTCCTCATGGCTTCATACTTAGCAGGGTTTTTTATTTTTTACATTATTCATGTTAGTCCTGCCTATATCAGGACTCATAAGTTCCAAATCTCTGGCTAAAGCAGAAATTCAAACGACAGTCTGTGGGCCCGGAGATGACTTATGCAGCCACAGCCGTTCATTCACATGCTGTCTGTGTCTGCTTTCATGCAATGGTAGCAGAGTTGTGACAAACACAATGTAATCCACAGAGTCTAATATATTTACTAAGAGTCTGTGGTTCCTTAATGTAAAGGAAAAATCATGAGGCAGTTTAATTACTATTGTATAGAATTCATAGTGAATCTGGAAAGAGAACAAAGTCAGAGGCCACTCCTCTTTTCTTTTTGGAAGCTTAGGGAGGGCTTAAGCTTGTGCTGAGAATCTAACAGTCTCTTTTCTTTCCAGGTCTTCTCTTTCTTTGATTTGATTCGCTACTGTGTCAGTGTTTGCAATCAGATTGCGTCTCACCTGCACATACATGTCTTTAGAATCAAGGTCTCTACAGGTCATTCTAATCATCATTAATGATTTAGTGGTGTTATATAGGAAACTCATGTTTTCCGCAGGAAAGAATCCGAACATATTAAAGAGAATGGGGGTGGGTAAGAACAAATATAATTTATAATAATCAATGTTGTATAACTTTTATTCTTTGTTATTGGTAACACTTCCTAACTATCCTGTGTGAGAATGGAAATTTCAAGTCCCATCCTATAAATTGTCCATGTTGTCATACAGCATTTGGCCCAAGAAAGCATGCAGGAAAAAAATGCCACGTGTTTGTTAATTATCCTGGATATTGTCATGGGGAGCAGGTCTCAAATGGAGTTTCTAATGTAGAATATTTACAGGCCGAAAGGTGGTTGCTTTATACTTTTAACAAATCATTATCTTTTAGTAACATCCTTGTTTAGTGTCTTCTCAAGCTTTCTTTACTAAGGAGCTCCAGCTTATGACAGATACATCCCATTAGCTTGTGAGGTCCAATGAGTGAGAAGGACCTGGAATTTGGATTGAAAGGTTTTCTATCTTTACATTGTTGAGAGGGAAAAAAAAATTTTTTTTATCATTGCTCAAGAAATGCTATCTCTCATGGGCTTGGGAAATTCTGTTAGCATGCATTATATGATAACTTTGTCAATCCATTTTATTTTTTTAAATAAATATGTGATCTAAAAACCAGTTTTTTCTCAGTTTTATTCAGTGGAAAGATAAACTTAAGTTTTAATGTCATTTTTTTAAATTAGGCAAAATTAATTTGTTTTTTAATAAATAAGGAAATGCAGTCAGCTTTGTCATGATGTATCCTATAATCTTCCTATCTTATAGAAACTAACTTTGTTTTCCCTCTCAAGGGTTGTGTTGCAATAGTTGTCCTTGTGGTTATCCATCATTTGGGAATTTTAAGAACTTTCTCTTACATTTTCAGTGATTATGTAGGCCTCCCTGGTCAGTCTCTTGCACTTTCCTTTTTGGGACTATTCTTCACAATATTTATAGTACAACTTGAAATAAGAAGTGTCTTCCTTGAACCAGATTTTTTTCCTTTTTATATAGATATTCTATTGTTTGAATGAAGGAAAAGACAGCAGTAAACATTTAGGGCTAAAAAATAACTGCTTAATGATTTTTATTAATACTTTGTTCCATAATCGCAAATAAATAAGTAGGTGCACTGCCTGGCCCAGCAGCTGGAATCATGATTTCTTGCATTTTTAATGGTCCCAACAATCCAGGGTACATCTGGATTGGCAGTGAGAGTTATACTTTTTCATTTCTTTGCTAGTCTGCAGATAGGTAATCTCTCATTGCCTTTTCTTGCTAGCAATTTCTCCATTGTCTAGGATAGGAAAATTCTGGGGCAGTTCAAGTTTGAAAGTTAGGACAAAGCACGATAAAGAAGGAAGGATAAATCTTGTTGGACATAATTGTATCTCTTGTATTATTTGATTATTATAGCATGCTTAGCAGGTATTAATTACCTACAAAAGAAATTAAAGTGGGAAGGGGGCTAAATGGTAGACCAGTGTCACACAGTATTGATATTTTTCAAACTGGAAACTAGAATCCAGATCTTCTAAATCCTGGTCCAGTGATTTTTCCTTCACCATACTGGGCTTTAGTGAGCTAAAGCTGAAAACTGAGATGTCCAGGCTAATTTAAATATACTAGAATCCTTCTAAAAATAAAAGGAAGCTGAAAAAGTGCCATTCAATGTAGGTTTCCTTCAGTACTGGATAGCAGCATCAGGTCAAGGATACAGTTGTAGAAAATCTCAGCTTGCCCTCGTTCTTCTTGTGTTAGTTTCAGATAAGCTTTTAAAAACTACCAATTTCCAAGTCTTATCACCAATATTTTCATAAACTTCCCAACATTCTGGCTTCTGTTCTAAAACCTTTTGAGGTACAACTAGACTTAGGAATCAGTCACTAATTAACCCAAAAAAGGTGTAATGATTCTTTGAAGCTGTTGAGAATAAAAATATATTTATAGGTGGCATGGACAATGGAATATTCTCTGCATCTCGAAATCAAACCACACTGGCTTTAACTTTAGTTTGGTAGCCTTTCCCCCTTGTCATTTCCCTCCAGAATGTTCCTTAAATAGAAGTCAGACCTGAGGCCCACACTCAAACACATTTTTAAAGGTAGCTTTTGGGGTGGGGGGGTACCAATTGAACTTGGGACCTTACGCTTGTGAGGCAGGTGGTGGCCCCACTGAGCTAAGTCCCAGCCTATAAAGGTAGCATTTTTAGAAGAGAAGATGCTTCTAAAAAATGTGTCCTGTGTTTTGTAATGTTTAAACAGAAACTGACAGTGGAGGCTTAGAGGTAGGAGGGACTAGGTGACCACAAAAAAATCCTTTTGGACTCTTAAAATTATTATTCTGTTTTTTGTTTTTTCCAAAAACAAAATGTGTCAAGGAAGGGATCCCTTCCCCTTAGCTTAAAAAAAAAACGTAACTAGTCTTCTCAAAATAACAAGCAGTTAGAGGCAGGCTGTGGAAGATAACGACAAAGTAAGGTCCAAACTGGGCATGATCGGCAGGCAGCCTGTTTACAAAAACCATGTAATATCTGTACTAGTGTTGACTGAGCTTCTTCCCATCACATTATCCTAGACTGCAGCTGCCTCAGTCCAACTAGCAGCCTCTCCTCCCAGGTCTCAAGGAAGCAGACTTCTTGAGAATCAAAGACTCTGGTGCTGCTGCTGCTGCCTTTACCAGGATCTCTCCTCCTTCCTCTCAGAAGTGCTGCCACCCTGACATAGTGGCTGCCATGGGTAGTCTCAGCATTCTGAGAGGCTGATGCAGTAGGGTCACAACTTTGTGACCTAGTGAGACTCTGTCTCAAAACAAGACTAAAGATAAAACTCAATGCAGAGGTGCTGGATTTAATCCCCAGTACCACAAAAAGAAAAAAAAAAAAGAAGTAGAGCTGCTGACCCATGTGATTCTGTGACTCCAGACACAGCCCACTTCTAGTCCAGTTTATTCTCGCATGTATTGCCCCACATAAACAGTTTTATTCTCATCCTCACATGTCCATAAACCTTTCTTTGAAGGAACAAAACTTTTGGGCTTTCTCTGTTGAGTATTTCTAACAGTGGTTCCCAGGAGACGGTAGTTATAGTACCTTCCAACCAAGCACCGATAACACCAGTACTACTATTTCCTGCTCTTTTCCTCTGCCAAAAAACAAAATGCATTTGGAGTTCATTTCTTTGAGCTTGGGCTCAAAGCCCTCGAAAGTCCTGGGGAAGTTGATTCCAAGGATCCCAAACTTAGATACCAGTTTGAAGCAAGACGTAGTCACTGGGACTCAGGACTCCAAAGGAGGCTGTGAATTTTGGAGGCTGAGAGCTTTCCCTGTCCTACCACATTGGCAGGGGCCAAAGTCCAGAACTGGCCTATAGGTCTAGTCTCTCCTGTTCACCACAGCCTTTTCCCTTGTTTTCTTCTGTTTCTTCTGTTCCTCATATTCAAGTATTTTCTGTTGAAAATACCCTGTGGGTTCAGATATAAGTGTTAGAAGCATCTAATCTAGCCAGGCAGGCTATACTGAGCTTAGGAATAAGGATCAGAAATATGTTTTTTGCCCCACACTTCCTCCCAACACACACACATGCATCCCTGCTAGGATCCTCAGGCCCTCATAGGCCTCTGGAGATTAGTATTCAGTTTGGCCTAAAAAGGAGCCCATAGACAGGATAACTACCAGGGATTAGCCCTAAAATAAAAAAGGATCCAGTCCTGGCTAATCAGCAGACCAACTTGTATAAAAAAGTCTGAGAGGTATTGTCTTAGTTTTCAGAGTACTTCCTTTCAACCTCATTAATAAAATTTACAGTTGTTTTGTGGCCCTCTAGGAAGGACTTCCCCTCTTCTTCATCCTAGAGGTGACCCCTTTTGGAATGAGCCTGGTAGATGTCATCAACTGTACCTGCAGGAGGATTCTTGCTCTTCTCAGCTTCCTGGATGAAAATGGAGAAGAGCTGTGTCTTCACAAACTTCTTCACAAATCTCCGGTTGGTCTTGGAGGTCAGAGCCTTATAGAAGGACCTTTCTTGGAAATGGCCTTGCCCATTTGTGTCCCGCTTGATATAGGAAGCATAGTGGCCCACAGTTTTGACAAAGAACTGCACAAAAGGACCTGAAACATGCTCATTGATTTCTTCCAAAGCTGCAAGGGACAGATACAGTTCATCTCAGAGAGTAGCAGAAGGATGAAACTGCCCAAACTCATCTGTCTATGGTTCTCATTGCAGGCCAAAGCTCCCAGGGGAAGCGGTAGGGTTCATAATTACTGACTGAAATGTAAGCCTGGGTAGGTTTTCTGCCATTGCCCAAGAAAAATAAAATCTTATATTCAGACTTGCCCTAGGATCTGGGGCTCTGGGGCTGGCCCAGAACTGCTAAGTCCATTTTAATTCTGGAAGAAAATGGGTTAGGAATTACGCCCTCATGCTCCCTAGAGGAACACAAAAAAAGAGTGGCCTAGAACTTACTCTTTAACTCCTTGATCCCCCGACCAAGAGAGTCTAAGATGTCATCTTGTAGCTTCGGTGGTAGAATGTCTTTTTCATCACCAACCTAGGAGAGGACAACGTAAGCTCAGAGGTCAAGCAGAGAGGATATGGGGAGGGAAGGGGCTGGCAGAAGAACGTGAGGAAGGCATGAATTCTGTACCCCGCTCTACACCTGAGGAATTGCCCACATAGAGAACAGAAGCTATTTCTTCTATCTTCAGTTTAACTAAACATTAGCAAAGGATTCCCTCCATTTTTGTGGTTGAAAGGTACTGATTGCCTTATGGTGACTTTAGATCTTTGAGGACTCCTCAAGAAAAGGGAGATCTTATTAACAGGAGTTCTGAAACTGTTGAAATAAGTAGAACATGATATGACCACAGTGGTTGAGTTGGTGGTGGGCCTGCAGGGGCTATGAATTCAGATACTTACCGACAATGAGAATGTTCCTTCACAAAGATTCACCAACAGGACCTGAAGTAAATACAGAATGACTTTATCTCTTCATAGGCCTCAGCAAGACTTACCACCCCATTTCTGTCTGTCGCTATATCTTTGGGCCTATGTAACAACAAAATCAGCATCTTCAGTTCTCATTTTCTGTCAGGCATCCTTGTTCCCTCACCATTTTCCTCTGGAAATCTCAGTTCCCTTCCTGGAGAAAGGGTGTATGTCTAGAAAAGGAGAGGAAAGAGCCAAGGTAGAAAGAAAATAGGATGTGGGAAAATCATAGCCTGTCACTCCATTAATAAAACAGATCATAGCAATTCTGTATATGGAGCATTTCAAACATGGCACAATGATAAACACTTTGTATATTTTATCTCATTTAATCCTGTTAACAGTTCTGTAAGGCAGGTACTATCTCTATTTTGCAGATGAAAAAGAGACGTAAGGAAGTTGACACCTCTAACAAATAGCACAATTTCCAAGCCTAGCTTGCACTGTCCCTTGGGATTCCATTTCTCTCTACAACTCCCCTCCACTCCCTGTCCTCTGGTCAGCTCAAGGACAGGTGAGCATGTTGAACTTCTGATGCTTACAATGACTTTACACATAATTGCCTAAGGTTTTAATAAAACTCCCTCAGAGCCTTGGGCCTCCAGCAGGAAACTCAACAAGGGAAGGAAATTAGTCCAGGAAGAGGGAAGGAAAGCTAAATGAGGAGACCATATGCCTACGTGCTACAAGGGAAACAGGGCTGGAACCTGGGTCTATCATGGGCTCTAGGGCCTGCAGTCTAGGATAGAGATAACAAATCAAACAGGCTCACTGCTAGCTGGTTCCAACCAGCAGATGTTGCTTTGGTCCTCAGAATATTTTTTTTAAATGACTGGATGGTTCCTAATAATAAAATTCGGATGTTTTACATAAAACTTTGGTTTGGGGCTTCTCCTAAAAAATCAGGAGTTCTAACATTGGTCCACATTTTAAAGGACAATATTCAGCTTCCCACTTGAGGCAGGATAGGTTGTCACCAATGTACCAGAGTCCCCCCAAATCATGTGCCAGGCATTTTGGGACTTGTGTTAGGGATCCTTTACAGTTTGTGGCCTTGTTCTTGACAACAGAGTGGAGAGTTCTTACATACTTCCTTCCAAATACAAGGGAAAGGGGGCGGGGCTGAAAATATGCCAAAGAAATACTGTAATTATCCATCATCAGAGGAGAAAATTTAAACTAGTTCAGGCATGAAACCACTTATATATGTAAGCTCAGGTGTCTTCATGCAGGGACAGCTGTTCATTTAGGGGGATGGGAGGAAAGAGCGATAGGAAGAAATCTTTCTTCGAGGTGTTCCCTAAAGTCTTTTCAGCATCTGGATATGTTGTCCATGAAGTAATCACTTCCAGAGAGTTTGTATAGGGAGTCAGGGATTGCCCCCGTTTCCCACTCTGGCCACATGGCCCTTCTCCCTCCTCACGCTGCCTGTGTCTTGGAGCAGCTGCTGAGTAATAAAGTAAGCCTTGATGGTAGAAGACTGACTCCTGACTTTTCAGTTGTCTTCAAGCCTGTCCATTTGGGAGGAGCCCCAGCTTCTGAGAAGCTGGAGCTGCAGGGTCAGGAAGTTTCATAATTTTGAGGGTTGGGACATTTTAAGTTTTATTGCTAAACACGGAGGCTGATACTCTGTCCCAGTTAGTCACAAGGCTAAGGGTGGTTCAAAGGGCATGTGTGCTCAGCCGGTAGCTCCAAGGAAGGGTGAGAGCTGGAGGAGCAAAGAAAGGAAACAGCCTGCTTCTTTCCTTCCCAGCAGTATCTTTCCCAAAAGGACTTTGGTTGTGTCTGTGTTGGATTGGCTGTCTGGGCTCCTGTAAGTCATGTGGGTTGTCTCGATCTCAGCTAGCTCTAATGTAAAATGGATAAATCTTCCCACTAGGGCTGGCTCCAGGCCTTATTAGAAGCATACCTCTAGGTTTCCCCTTCCCTTGATAGTCCCTTTCTGCATAGAGTGAATTAATGGTTAGCCAGGACAGACAGGAAGTAGTTCTTCAGGTAGGATAACATGCTATTCTTAAAGTTCCTACTAACAACTCAAAAAGAAGAGCTCCTATTGTTTCTTCAACTTCAGGGATAGATTTATGTGATTAATACCCATTTTTACAATGGGTCCTATGCTGTGTCAGGGACATTGCCAAGAAATAAGAAACTAACAGGCCGGGCGTGGTGGTGCACGCCTATAATCCCAGCACTTTGGAGGCTGAGGCAGGAGGATTGCTGTGAGTTCGAGACCAGCCTGGGCTGCATAGTGAGTTCCAAGTCAGTGTCAACTACAGAGTGAGAACCTGTCTCAAAAAAAAAAAAAGAAAGAAAGAAAGAAACTAACAAAATCAAAGGGGATTTGAACCTATATCCTCATTAATCAGCTGATCTCTGGGCTACTCGGAAAGATGATCCCTGTTTTTAAAAAATCTGCATTTTCAAAACTTGGAGTTTGAGTATCCCTCATAGAAGGGATTACTTCCAAAGAATTTGAGTGAATTCCAGTGGGTTGTATCTTATGTAGACCAGCTGTGATCATCTGTTGAACTGAGAGATGAGACGTCTCAGAGACTTCTTATTGGGGCTAGCTGGTGCAGGACAGTCTCAGGAGCCCCAGATAAGTTACGTACCCGCTCCTAAGGCCAAAGAGAAATCATTCAGTAGAAAAGAGCTAGCCCTTGTTAAGCATCAACTATGTGTCATGCATCAGGCCAGAAGCTTTATATGGGTGATTTCCCTGAGAGTCGCTAGGAACGGAACACTGTCAGCCCCATTTCACACATGAGGAAGCTCAGGCTTAAAGAGATTTAGTAACTTGTCCCAAATCACATGGGTGTTAGTAGCAAAGCTGGGATCCAAATCCAGGCCTGCCTGGCTGCAAATCATACACTCTTCTTCTTGTAGCATACCTCTTCCATTGGGCTGTCCATAACTTCCTGCTGAAAACGCATTTGTACTCCAACCATGAAGGGAGTGGGGCAGCAGACGGTGGCAAGAAGGCTCTCAGGGACAACAGGAATGTAGGTGTGTGCCCAGCTGAAGGGATAGAGCAGTGCAGCAGCAGCATGGATGCATTGAGACAGGGTGCTGGAGCAGAGAGCAGGGACAAGAGTCAGAAGGCCCCTGCACCTCCGCCTTACATGTCCACTCCTAGCCCAGCACGTCCTACAAGTGCTATTTGTGCTGATGTAAAAAGGCAAGTCTGAGAGCCACACTGGACACAGGCCTTGTAGCTACTTGGCAGAGCCTTTTCAGTCTATTCTCATCCTCAGCCTTGACCTCACATGGCTCTCCCGGGCCACTTGAGTTGACTGAAAGCTACCAGGTTGGTGCCTGAGTGAGCTTGGGAAATTCCTAGGTTCCAGGAACCTCTGCCTGACAATTCTCTGGAAAGTCCCAGAGAGGTAGCTTCTGTAGCCTTCGCAAAGATGCATTCTTCATGTCATTAGCACTCAAGGCACAACTCAGCCCCTCTCTCCTACCACACCACACACATACACACACACACACACACACACACAACATTGGCTTCATGACTCTTCATTTCTCCAGCCAAATTACCCCAAAGGTAAGGCCAATGAAAACACAGAAGTGGAAATCTTGTTTCAATTCTTGATATCAAGCTAATACATCCTGAGTTAAAGAGACTGAGCATCTGAGCTTCTAGCTAAAGCTCTGGATGACTGGAAGTCCCCTCCCACTGACACACTGAAAGCTCAGTGTAGGAAGGAAATGGCAGTGGTAATATTTCCCTGGAGAAAGTTTGTTCCTGGAACGTAAATCCTCTAGCCTCTACCTCCCAAACCCTAGTCTGAGTAATAAGGCCAGAACCCCAGCCCAAACTCGAGAGAAACTCATTGTCACACAGAGTTAGAGCAGAAGAGCCTTTTCCAGGGCAAAAGATGATGCTTCTCCCCACAAAGATGAACTTAAAAATAGTTCTTACAGTGCTATATTTGGCTATTACTGGTTTTCTTAGAATCTTCAACAGATAACCCAACCCATGCCCAAGCTTCCTTTCCTCTGAAACCCATGACATTTACTTGGACCTCTGATCTCTACTATTTCCCCTAACAGCCTTTCCTTCTTTTCTAAAAGTATCAATGTCAAGCCCTTACTATCTTATTCCTTTTTTCCTTTTCCACTCTGTTATGTGTTTCCCAGGTCCTTTCAGGCTTGAAGTTTTCAGGGGTAGAAAGCAAATCATGGCAGTGGCCCGCTTGGCCTACTCACAGAGATCTACTTAATTGTGAACTCACTAAGAACAGTGGCGTGTACTTACCAACAGACCTGGCAAGGTGGTAGGTGCCTAGCGTGCACCCAATTATTTCCTTTAAAAGCCTTCCAGCTAGGTACAATCATTTAAATTCTACAGATAATGAGATCAAGACTTTAAGAAAAACTGAACTAAAGGATATTTCGTAGTTAAAGGTGGAAGAGCAGGATTTGAAACTCATTCTGCTGAATTTCATGCTTACAACTACTACATAATCCTGCATCCCCTTAAGGCCAAGGACCAACTCTTATTAATATCTTCCCCATGCTTGGCATCTGGCAGACAGCTGATACAAATGTTTATCGAATGAGTGAACAAATGGACAGATGGATTTACTCTCTATATCATTACACACCTTCCTATTTGTTCTCCACCCTCTTCCCCTCTTTGGCCTTGTAAGGGTAAAGTCATACCTGCATAATTGGTCCTGCCTAGGCTGCCCTTCACGTCCTTCTCAGAACTAAGTTGGAAAACTTTGTTCAGGCCTGGGCAGTAATCAAGTTTGGAGATGGGACAGAAGGGTTGCAGCAGCTGTTTCTCCAGGCCTAATGTACAAATTCAGAAACTGGAAGTGGTAGGATGGGCACACAGGTTGAGAAACTCCACCATGTTCCCTTCAACCCAGGTTGAAGGCGAATCTGACTATGTAGTGTCTAGGCCCACCTGAGACCTTCTGCCAGGAAGATGATTTTTCTTTCCAGCACTGCAGAGGCAAAGATCTGAATAATCTGTTCAAAGCTGAGACAGTGCAACAGAGAACTAAAATCCACATGTTCAAGGTGGGAGTCCAAGGGCCGTGTCAGAGAAATGAACTGTGGAAAAATAAGAGAGGGAAATGTCATCACACTTACAAAATCATGCAGGCACCAGAATTCTTGGCCATACTCCATTCTCCCCACTGCAGAAAGCTGATCCTGCCTGCCTCCCATGCTAAAAGCCACCAGTGGCTCTCTTCTGCTTTGAGGACAGTATGATGTTATTTCCAGCATGAGATCCTGCTTTGATCACATTACCCACTCTAAGCTGCCTCCCCCATGGGTCTCTCTACTTCAGGAGCAGTGGGTTGTTTCCCATGCTGTGTTTCATGGGTTGACTTCTCCTGAACTGCTCTCCTTGATTCATTCTTAACCCCTTTCAGAACTCGAAGGTCCACCCTTGCTGCCTGATACTGCCTATCTTTTTCTCATGTAGCACTCTGGCTTTTCCTTTTATCACAGTAATACAATTTTTAATTATATTTTCATTGATGTGTTTACTTACTTAATATCTGTCTTTCCTACCAGACTTTAGCTCCATAACGTCAGGAACCTTGTTCATTTTTGACACTGCTGTGTACCCAGGAAACAGAATAGCTTGGCACACACCAAACATTCAGTACTTATTTTCTGAATAGATGAAAAAATCCTAGCCACTTCCTTATTTTTCTGTGGGGAAGCCAAGGCTCAGAGGTGCACACAGGCTCTCCAGAAATCCAAAGTTCAGGACTGGAGTTCTTAGACCAATGTTCTACTTGCTGCCTCAGTCTGTTTAAACCTTGGAACAGCAGCATCACCAGGTGGCATGGGTGGGGTCTCGGGTGGGGAAGAATGATAAGAACTAGACAGATGGAGACCGCAAGGTAGAGATATAGGATAGATACATAGGATAAGGGAGAGGTGTAGGGACAAGGGGCAGTTTGGGGGCGGGGACAAGTCCTAGCACCAAAAACCTCAACTGACATGGTATACTGATCACAAATAAAAGTCTCGGTGGCTTGAACAGTAACTGGGTGCTTGTGGACATCAGATTAGAAGGCTCAAGAAATTTGGGTTTGATTTTTCAGCTCTGCCAATAATTCTAACCAAGTCCCAGTCCCCGCCTGGCTCAGTTTCTCTATACTTTAACCTGGTGAATGGAAGAAGAGGGGTGAGAGGTGCCACAGAAGCCTATCCTCTCCAGGCTGGATGAGTTTCACCCATTTGCTAACACACCTCTGTGCCTGAGTCAGGGATGAAGCTCTTAAGGGTGACAGTCTTTCCAGGAGCAGGGAAGGCTGCCTCTCGGAGGCCCTGCATGAATGGGTAGATGACAGCCATGGAAATCTGATGCCTCTTCTCCACTTCATCCAGGATCTGCAGGAAAAGATTGCAGGGGCCACCTGTAAGGCTCTCATACAGTTAGCTTATTCTCATGTAATTCTAGGCCCCTCCACCAGCTGGCTCTCTTGCCCTCCCTCTCAGAGACTGGTCTGAACAAGATCTGCTATTCCCTACCCTTTTTCTCTCTCTACCAATCCATATTTCTCTCTCCTTCTAAAACTACTGTCCCACAAAGTCATCCCAAGTAAACTCACCACCCATGATGGCACTCTCAGGACCGTGATCCTAGTAGCCTAACCTCTTGGGTATCACTCTGTCCTCCCAGTTTTCACTGAACACTCCCAAGGGGCAAGGGCTGCCTCCAACCCTCGGAATATTGCACAGATGAAGGTTCCAATCAAGCTGACAAATTTCCTTCATTCTCTTCCAAGAGTGTTGCAGGGGCAGAAGAAAATGAAACCCTTTCTTGCCACCAAGACATGCCCTGTCCCTTCCAAGGGATTCCTTTCAGATCTTGCCTCAGACATACTGACACTCTAATTAGCCCTTGCAGTAACACAAGCCATGGGGGACCTCAATTTCTCTTCTCCCCTCAAAGAAGTAACAGCAAATCTCAGGGTTCCTAATTTTTTTTTTTTTCTTGTACCGGGGATCAAACTCGGGTCCTTGTGCTTGCGAGGCAGGCTGCAGAACCACTGAGCTAAATCCCCAGCCCTGGGGTTCCTAATTTATGATGACTGCTTTCATATTTGTTTGATGCTCTGCCTTTTATAAAAATACTTCTATATCATTTCATTTTGAGCTTCATACCAGCACAGAAGAACAGTAAGAGAACATTAACTCCATTGGATAGAGGAGGAAACTAGAGCTCAGGACAAGACAGTCTTAAAGGTCTTCCTTTGTCCTGCTTCAATCGCTTTCTGCATTGTTTTGTTTTGTCTTCTGGAGACAAACGTAGTTCAGGCTGGCCTTGAACTCAGCTCCCCAAGTGCCAGGATTACAGCTGTGTGCCGCCATGCATGGCTTCCTCAATTGCTTTCTTATTTGATTAGGGTGGGAAAAGTGGTTTAAAGACAGTCCTCTAAATTTCCTTAAAATCAAATCAACCCTAGTCCTCCCACCTCAATTTCCCCAAATGTCCTTGATGCCAGCTAGGCTGTCTACTCTGAGTTCAGATTGCACAGGCTGGGAAGACACCCAGGCAAAGCCCAGAAGCTGAACAAGCCTAACAGGCCCCAAGGAATCCTGCTCCACACCTACCTTAGAGAACAAGCCGAAGCAGCCAATGCAGCTGATGATGCAGTATACTTTGGGAAGGCGAGGGCCAGGGCCAGCAGGCTGCAAAGTAACAAAACGTTCCTTCAGTGCTGTAGCTTTCCCGGGCTTCTCCCACCTGGGGCTGATGGGGTACAAGACTGAGTGCTGGGGGTGGGTGGGGATTCATGAGGAATAGCGGCCCAGTGGAGAAAGGCCTGGCTCTGCAGCAAGGGGCTCAAAATGGTGACTGAGATCAAGGGACCAGAGATTCATAGAAAATCACTACTGCCTTCAGGGCCAACAGGATCTGGGGATTAGCAAATGTGTCTCAGAGGTGAGGAAAGCACTGTAAAAATGCCATGGAGAATCCTCTGACACCCAAGAATTAAACTGAGTTGTCCAAATCTCAGACAATTCTGGGAAGCTTCAGCCTCCAGGGCCCAAGCAAGCTTCGATGGAGAAGACAGGGAGAGGAGTCAGGTGGAGACTCCCACAATGATGAGAGCTGTTAAAGCTGGGAGAACACAGACCAGAACCTGGGCAGCAGAGGTTCCCTGGGTGGGCAAGGAGAGCCTTGTTCTCATTCTTGTAAGATTTAAAAAAGGGACACTAACGTAGTAGGTGATGGGCTGTGCTCTCTATAACCACACTTCCTGGGAGTCTGGGCTTTTGCAACTGAGAGGCTGTAAAAAAAATAGGGGGCAGTTCTGAGCAGCACAGACCAATAAGCGCCTGCAGTATCCAATCTTCCTGCTTCCATCCACATTGGTCAGGACAAAGGAGAAAGTCTCCCTAAGAAAGAGCAGACAAGGCTTGGTTTGGATCTGCTCACTGATTCTAAAACAGGAAGGTAGGCAGTGTCAGAGGAGTGCAGAGGAAGACACAGAGGAGCCACTGATTAGGTATGGCAGTAATAACCCCAGTAATTTATTAAGTGCTCATTCATGCCTAGCCCTAAATGTGTCACCTCATTTGATTCTAAAAACAACCTTTGAGGTAGATTCAATTATTATCTCTCCTTTAAGATGAAGGAACTGAGAGTATGAGAGAGTATTTCTTATCCAAGTCCAACTTATAAGTGGTGAAGTCAGAATTTAAACAGGCAGTCAACTTCCAGAGCTCATGCTTTAAGGATTTTCACTGTATTGACTTCTGCTGAGTCCAGCTTCTGCCATCAGCAAAGTAACAAAACAATATTTCTTCCTAGAGAATCTCATGCATCTTTGAACAAAAGTCAAACCACAACTAAAATCTTTCAGGACTTCATTGCAAGATCTTTACAGATGCCAGTCCCTGGTAGGAAATCAACATGTAGTGGCAGAGAAGTCACAGAGTTCCCATGTGTCCCTTCTCTCCCATTCTGATACCTGCCCCAGGGCTGGTAGTTACCTGGGATACTCAGTGAGAGATGACCACTCATTCCCATCTGGGAAGCAAAACAAGGGAATGGCATTGAGCAACCGCTCCTCTTCCTCCTGTTGGCCCCGAAGCAGGTTCTCCCTCTATAAGGAAAATGGAAAGACATACATGTACTGTGGGGCAGAAGGGGGTCAGAGGGCTGGTGGGGCTTCTTTTGAAAAAGCTTTGCAAGTTATCTGAGGCTAAGTGTTTTCACTGGTCTGGGGCCCAAAGAGCATCTTTGACTATCAATCTATACACTCTGCATGCTTCTTTTTCTTTTCTTTCCTTTTTTTTTTTTTTTACCAGCGATCGAACTCAGGACCTTGCACTTTTGAAGCAGGTGGGGGAACCACTGAGCTAAATCCCCAGCCCCCACTCTGCATTCTAAGTCTGGCAGGAATGAACCCAAAGATTAGACAGCTCCTACTGGGCCACATCAACATGAATTTGGAAGAAGGTCAAGGGCTATACTGAATACAGAAAGGACCTGAGCCAGCCAGGCCCCTTTGCAGGGCAATGTCAAAAATACCACATCAGAAAAGAGAAGCAGCCTGTTCAGTTGCTGCACCTGCTAAAAAAGAGGTTAACGAGAAGATTGCCCCGTTCTCACCCTCTCAGTGCAGAATCAGACAAGAAAGAGCCTGACGCTGGGCTGCGGCAAAGTCCCGGGCCTGCCCCCACCCAGGTGCCTGCCCCACACACTCCTTCCCACATAGCGCACAAGGGGATTCCTTGTAGGAGGTTTAGCAGACACGGTAAGCTTCTTTAAAGAGAGAAAATGAAATTGGAAAGAACTAGGGGGCCCCAAAAGGGCCAAGAGTACTAGATTAGTTTCCCTGCTAGGATCCTCAGTCAGTTTCTCACAAAACAGTCAGACCTAGATTCTGTGGGTGATAGCAGAAAACTAACGCTGGGCTGAGAAGGACATGAAATTAGCTCCACTATCACCTTTCAAACACCCTTATCCTCTGTCCCGCACCCTCTCGGTACTTACCTTGGGGAACTGGTAGGTGATGGTGGGCTCATAGTCATCCCCTGAACGCTTCTTTTTGAGAGAAACCACCAGAAGGTATTCAAAGAAATGCTGCCCCCCAGCAAAGCTGGGAAGAGTGTGCTCCTGGGTCCTTTCTGGTTCCTTTACAGCTTCCCCTGGATCGTCTTGGGAAGGTCCTAAACCAAAACACCAAGGCCCCTTCAGTATTTTATCAATCCAATCTATAAGCTGTGAGAATCTGAGCAACTTCCCCACCTCAAGGCCACCTCGCCAGCACTGAGATACCCATAGCCTAACCAGCACCACCAGTCACGGAACAGGACCAGAGCCAAGCGGGCAGTTTCCACACCTGCCTGGGAAACTTGAAACCAGGAAGAGCCAAGAAAAGGAAAGAAGCCATTGACGTGGAAGGTGAGGAAATATACCGGAGAGTTTTGTGGAAGCCCGGTGTCCCAAATCTGAGTTTACTTATAAGGTGCCCACGGCAGTCCTGGAGCAGCATGCCCAGAGTTAACGCAAACTAAGTTACCAGAATAGGCCCAAGGGGCATACGACTGTGATCACTCCAATCCCCACAGAGGGTATGTCCGGCTCCGTACACCAACAGAGGAAAGCTCCTGGCCCAGTCACATGGGGGAACCATGTGGCAATGGACATACAAAGGAAAAAGAGGAAGGAGCACTTTAAGGAAGAAACAGACCAATTTAAGAGGTTCGCCCTAATGTAAAGGAAGTGGGAAGTCCTGTCCTGACCTGCTCGGAATCGGAATCGGAGTCGGTGTCGGAGTCGAAGAGGCTGGTTCCAGAACATGCGTCCTACCCCTGGTCCTTCCATCTTCCTGTGCCTTTGGAGCATGGAGTATTCTCCTTTCCCCCAACACAGACTGGCTACAGAAAGTCTAAGGAAGACACCACTGCTTCCGTCTCCAGCCACAATTCTATGAAGCCAAATTCCACGCTGTTCTCCAAAGAGGGGAGAGGAGTTTCCATCCTGTGCACCCCGTGGTTGAGCAAGAAGAACGTGACAGGACGCAGGAGGCAGCTGAACCTGGGCATGAACACAGGCAGCATCCTGGCACTGCTGCTCAGCTCTTAGCTCCTCCCAAGAGCCCCAGGGTGTGGTAAGAGAAAAGGTCATGAGCAAACACCTCCAAGGCCCAGCTGTTCTGGGATAAGAGCTCTGAATTCTGGTCTGTGGGTTGAGCTGTGAGTTTATTTACAAGCTTGAAACAGTTAAGAATGCCCAATAGCATCAGACCGTGTGGACTGGAACCCCACTAGTCTCAGGGCAGTAATCTGACATCACCACAACTTTGACTCCTAACTTTTTATCTCTCAGCTTTGTCAAAACCCCTGCAAGCCCGTCATATTTCAGAACTTCTAGGACTTCAGACCCTCAACCAAGAGCAAAGGGCCAAATACTGCCTGCCATGCTCTGATTAAGATAAGAGATGGCCCAATAATGATCTAAATGGATTAATTCTTCCAGCAAGAGAAGGTGTCTTAGAGTCAGTATGGACTAAAGCCTCCCTCCTGACAGTAAAGTATAAAACAAAATCTATCTCTACACTGAGAATTATTGCTGTTATTTACAGAATTACTACAATGGGACTCTATTGCCCCCTACAACATGTCCTGGGCTAAGGCAGAAAGTTTTCTCACTGGGACTATTCCAAGGCTCCAGTGCTGGGAGTGATGTTCTGTAGATCACTATGGCCAGGCCTAACTGGCCTCCTCCCATGGAGGGCATAGTGGAGCAAGGCCTGGCCAAGAAGAGGACTATCTTCCTTCCCACCCATTCGCCAGAGGAACATCAAGCATTGTCTCCTGCAGACCCTCACCATCCTCCCTGTTCCATTCAGGCATCCCCTTTCAGTGTCCTTATCTACACTAATAAAACAGGTGCTGAGGATGTAAGGAAACTTTTTTGTCTCCTCAGGACAGAGTTTCCACCTGGCCTCAGCTATGTAAAGTTTACTGTGTCTTTGTCTTCTTTGTCTTATTCTTTAAGTTTCTTAATCTCTCACCATCATTTCTCACTTCGTGAACCCTTCAGCCACGGGGCACTCCAGAAGATGCCCTCTTTCCCAACATGAAGCACTGACTCAGGAAATTGTCCCCAACCTAGAATGGGATACTGTTTGCACCAGCAGCCTGTGGTCATTCAGTGCCAGTGGAAAAGCATCTGGTTGATCACCGCCCTGCCCCACTCCCACTCAGCTATTTTTCTCTACATGGCCAGGTCAATGAGCTAAGCTGTTGGCCCACTGCTATGTCTGAAGACTGAGGAACAGAAAAAAAAATCACCCCTGATTCTTATAGAAATCTTTGAATAAGGAAATGCATAGGTCAAGAAGGGAGGACTTTTGCCAGGAAGTTGCCTCAAAGAGGAGCCAGGAGGCATTTGATATCAGTTTCTGTCATTCCTGTGAAACATAAGCAGTCTTCTGTAAGGCGGTGGGATGCTAAGGTGGGAGAAGCAGCCACCTTGCTCCAAAGAGCTTTGGACTGGGCTTTTGTGACACTAGTAGAAGCCAAGGGTCAGGGCCAGCTATGACTTTTGGAAGTGAGCCCCTAAGCACAGTAAATAAGCATGGTACAAATGCTGTAAAAGATAAGAAGAGTGAACCAGAACACTCAGAGCCTGTCTGAGGAACAAACACCTTCCTGATATACACAGGAAAACTGAGGCATGGAGTAACTCAGAAGCAAAAGTTAACAGGATCTGTTAAGGGTGGGAGTTATGAAAACCCTATGATCAGGCCCCTGCATTCTTGATGCATTCCACAGCAAACATCCTGCAGAAGTTTGCAAAGGGCTACTAGACAACTAGAATCTTCTCAATGATTGTTCCAGAACCTCAGGAAATCATGCCCTTTCCTAAATCCTTTAGGCAGCATTTTTAGCCCATTTCCTCCTGCCTTATCAGGAGAGACAAGACAACAGTAAAACTTAGAAATCCTTGATAGAAAACATCACTAGACCGTTTGGCTGAGGTCCAAGGAATCTAGTAAGCAACTGCTATATCCCTCCCTCCCTTACAAAAGGGGTTATCAACAGAAGAGAAAAGCATGGGAGAAAACTAACATCCATCAAACTCATATTTTTCATATATGGCATCTTATCCCCAATGCTCTGGAAAGGAATTATTACCTGAGTTTTAGTTGATGAGGGAACCACCCTTTCTAAGAAGCCAGGAGGCTGGTTTCACTTGTTCCTCCACCAAAAAACCCCTCCCATAGGCACTTGGCAAAGTATCAGAACTGTCTATATTCAAATATAGGTGAGGGGACTTCCTGGAACCTAATTTGAAAGCCATCCAGCCCCTTCATCTTTGAATTAAAGTACTCTCAACCCAGGACCACAACACTCCACCCAACCAGGATCACACACACACACACACACACACACACACACACACACACACACACACACACAAGTCCTTCTAACACACAACTGCCCTAGGGCCAGAAAAGCAAAAGAAGGAAGGGAGAATCCCCAGAAAGGTGAAAGATAGTATGGAAGATGAAGGCAGAACATTCTCCTGGACTGACAGGAGCTACACCTTACCACAGGCAAGAGGGTCTGCCCATCTCCCAGTTCCTCAGGGGTTAGGGAACTCCTCCGAACAATCACTTGCCCTCCATTGATATGGGATAGGTGGGTGGGACAACTGGAATGTTATCTGGGATTCAGGAAGCAAGCCCTAATAATTCCACAGGTTTGCAGGGGTCTGAGGGGCCCAGGAAAACCAGGGCAGTGCTCTCTGGAGTCAGTCTCTGAACTTTCTCAGGCAGAATAGCCAGATGCTGGACAGAATAGCAGGGGCTGAAGAAGGAACAGGTGGCAAAAGGAAAGGGAACAGAACAAACAGAAGATCACTCAGAAGTCAATGCAGTTCAGAGAAGAGTGCATTGGCCTAATTCCTGGGCTCTCCCCAACTCCAGGACTTGGAGTAGAAGAGGGATTCACTGGGCTGTGGAATTGCCAGACTTGAAGAACCTCTGCTCACCTTCCAGCCCTCTTCTCTTCAGAAGCAGGACCTCTAGGTAAAGCATCCAAGAGTCAGGGCTACTCAGCCATAGGATTGACTAGTTACAAGCACCAACACTGTTTCACAAATGAATGGATAAATTAATGAAATCCTAATTACCTTCTTTCCAAAGTCCAAGACTCCCGTTAAGAACAAAGAATGGAAATTGACATTGACATCTGACTTAATTCTCACCTTCTGGACATGGGAATTATTCCATCTCACTGACCAGGGTTTAGAGGTAGGGTAGATCTACCTGTCTGGATCACACGCTGAGGAAGCAGGTAGGCAGACTCTTCACAGCTCTGACGCCACAGCCACAGCTACACCCCAGGGCACCCGGCCACCCTAGGGTGGGGTGGGGACGTCATCAGGCAGACCAGTTTTTGTGGCCAGCAGCTCACTGTGGGTGAGGGGAGGTTGTCTCCCAGAAATTGGGCAAAGGCCACAGCAGAGTCCGGGGGCGTGCAGAGGGGCAGGTCGGGCGCCTCCTGGAGGGCACAACCCGGGCACATCAGGCACGCTGTGGTTGCACCACAAGTTTCCTGAATGGAAGGACACATGGCCCTGGAGCCCCACAACGGTTTCCTTTGGGCGGACACCTCCCCCTAGCCTGCCAGTGGATCCGCTGATCCGCTGATCTCCAACCCCGCCCCTACCTAACCCCTTTCACCTCTACCTGCGCTCTCCTCGCTCACCTGACCCCCACCTGGCCCAGCGGCTCCCGGATCTGGACGCCCGCGCCACCTTGCCCTAGTCGCTCACCGTCGCCAACCTCGCCAAGCTCCCCAGTCCCCTGCGCGGTCC